AAAAATTTAATTTTGGAGAAAACTTTATCAAGATGATAAAGACATTATACTTCAAACCAACTTTCAAAGTTAAAAATAATGGCTGGATGTCAAAATCATGTGAAATGCAAAGAGGGATTAGACAAGGCTGTCCTGTATCAGCGCTTTTATTTATTTTTGTGCTAGAAATACTAGCAGTTCAGCTTAAAAATAATGAAGAAATAATCGGTTTATCGCCAGGTGATAATGGAAATTTAAAAATCGTTCAACATGCAGATGATTGCACTAATCTATTGAAAGACACTAATTCAATGAAAAAAGCTTTAGAAACAATAAGTGAATTTAGCAAAGTCGCAGGCCCGAAATTGAATTTGGACAAAACAGAATGTTTATTAACAGGAAAATTTATTGAAAGGTATTTAAACGAAAATCATATATTTGGTGTAAAAATTGCTAAAAGCCATGTAAAATCATTAGGTATATATCTCGGTCATGATAAGGATTTTTGTTATGACATGAACTGGACGAATAAATTGGAGAAACTTGAAAGAATACTGAGCGTTTGGAGAAAGCGAAACTTAACAATCTTTGGAAAATGTACCATAATTAATACACTAGCATTATCTAAATTGGTATATAATGCTTTTATTTTGTCAAATCCAAAAAAAGAATTCTTTAAAAAAGTATCAAAACTTGTATTTAATTTTATATGGAAGAAAAAAGATAGGATAAAAAGAAATACGCTAATCGGTAAAGTTGACCAAGGTGGAATAGGTATTGTTGATATAGAGAGTAAATTTACTGCAGCAAAAGCCTCCTGGATAAAACGATTACTAGATAAAGAAAATATAATATGTAAGATGTTGAACAATATTCTTAATCTTAAAAACCTATCAGTAAATGATATTGTCAAAACAAGTGTAGTTAACTTTGAAAATACTGCCTTTTTTAAGATGATAAGAATACCACTTTTTTATGGTGAGGTCCTTTCTGCTTTCAATAAATGTAAAAAAGTTAAACAAATTTGTACTTTAAAGAGAGACCAATTTTTATCGGAATTCATTTGGAACAATAATTTGTTTCAGTATGATTCTAAACCTCTTTGTTTTGAAAACTGAATACAAAAACAATTTTGATTGTACATATGCTAAATGTGTTAATATTAAAAACAAAATGTCATTTTTATTTAGAGATAATAGCATAAGAACTCTAGAAAATCTTAAATGTGACTTTTATTATTCAATTTTGTAAACATTAAATTTCAAAGACCAGTTTATGAAAATATGTGGCAAAAGACATTCGATCTTAGTTACAAATATATCTGGAAAAATGTATATTTAGCTAAAATTAAGTATATGTATGAAAAAAATGTTGCTGAATTTAATTATAAATTACTGAATTGCATATTGAATAATAATCTAAATGTAAGTAAATGGAACAAAGATGTAGAACCTTATTGTGAATATTGTATGGTTGTTGAAGACAATGAACATCTCTTGTACAAATGTAAAATCTGTGAAAATATATGGAAAAAAATTAGTTTATTTTTGGGTTTTGAAGTCACATGGAAAATACTTGTTCTAGGTTTTTACAATGAAATCAATTCAAAAACAACGAGATTGAATAATTTATTGTCCTTTGTATGTTTTAACATCTATAAATATAAAATGAAATGTAGATTTGAAAAAGAAAATATGTTTACAGAAATTTTTCGAAATAAGTTAAAAAATTCTCTTTGTCTACAAAACGCAATTCTAAAGAAGGCACATGTTATTAATGATAATTTATATCTAGATATAGGCAATTACTTGTGATTTTGATGTTCAAGTAGCTATGCAATGTATGTATTATGCTTTTGTACAATGAATTATTTATGTACCATGTTTTAATAAAAGAGAAAAAAAAAACTGTACTGGGCAGCTTCTAGTCCTTGTCCTTCGAGTCAAATTCTTATTCCCATCAAATAGTACATGTTCATCAATCTTCATTCTGAAAAAACCTTAGAAGCCAATACATTATGGCAAAAATCTCTGCAGACCCACACTCAATTTCATTAGCACTTTTCAGAATAAAGTTTACTTGTGTAACAAGACTAGCTGAAAACAGACTGAAACGGAATTTCAAAATGATTGAAAAGAAATTTACCTTTTCAGTAACCGTGGATGCTGTTTGTAGAAAATTAAACAATTTAAGTATACTTGTGCATCAAATCTTACTGAAATTGAAACAAAATTGTAGAAGGAATTGTTTACAGACAGACAGAAACTTAGATCCTCATTATTCCAGAGTGGTTGTGACCCTTCAAATGTACAGATTTGAATCCCCTTATGCTAGGATACTTTGTGCCAAATTTGGTTGAAATTGGCTAGTAAGAAGTTCTGGAGAAGGAGCTCATAATATGAAAAGTTTTACTACGACATTGCCCTTTGCTTGTGACGTGAGCTAAATTTAAATTACACAGGGTCCGCAGTCTTTCATCAGTGAATGAGAAGTTAGTTGTCCATGTTAACCATTCACACCTCAGTACTGATTTTGAGAACATGGTAAAAGTACATATGCAAGGCCAAGTTTCTCTGTATTGGTACCAACAACAATGCACTAATTCAATCATAATGCAAGAGATGTTTGTAAAACACTTATGCCCCTCTTCCCCCAAATTGGAATTTTTCCAAGTCCAATAGGGGCTTATCTCTGTCAAAAATGGCGTGATTGTACCCAAAACAGAACTTGACCAAGATAGTCATCTGATAAATTTGTATACTAAATTTCCTCTCAGTTTGTGCAACGGTTGTGAAGAAAATGAACAGAAACTGCAGCAGCAAATAATTGAAATTATTCAAGTCCAAGGGGCATAACTCTGTCAAAAATGGTGCGATCGTATCCAAAACAGCACTTTACCTAGATATTAATGTGATATATCTGTATACCAAATTTCATTTCAGTATGTGCAACGGTTGTGAAGAAAATGAATGGAAACTGCAAATAATTGAAATTTTTCCAAGTCCAAGGGGCATTACTTACTTACTTACTTAGGCCTCTTCGTGCCAGGTGGCACATAAGGCAGCCACACAGTCTCTCCACCCAGTCCTATCCTTTGCTTTTCTTTCTACTTCTTTCCATGTCATCCCTATTTCTTTTAGCTCTTTCTCTGATGTTCTACGCCATGTTGTTTTTGGCCTGCCCCTTTTTCTCTTGCCGTCTGCTGTCCAGAATATGCTCTCTCTTGTGATGTTATGATGGTCTTTCCTGAGCACATGTCCAACCCATGCCAAGGGGCATTACTCTGCCAAAAATGGTGCAATCGTACCCAAAATAAAACTTGACCTAGATATTCATGTGATATATCTGTATATAAAATTTCATTTCAGTATGTGCAACGGTTGCGAAGAAAATGAACGGAAACTAAGTGGACCGACAGACAGCAGCAAAGCAATATGCCCTCCCTTCTTCGAAGGGGGGCATAATAAAGTATCTACAGCGCTAAGTCAGGACTCAGGAGGACACTCTATACCCAAACATTGTACTAGATAGGTCTATTAAGGTACATGTGCAGTACATCTGACTTTAGAATTCTGATCGTTTTCCTCAACTCATCAGATCTCATTAAAGTTTTAACAGACAGATGGATATGGTGATTTCTCTTAGGGACCATAATTAAAGAAGAATAGCAGTGTACTAACACAAAACAAAATTTATTTTATCTGAATTTAAAAACCCAAAGTTAGACAAATAAGCCAAAATTTTAACTTTATAAATATTAAAAACTGGAAATTTTGACACTGAATATCCTTAACACCAGTTGTGGAAATTAATTCAGACATTGAAGAATGCATTGAAATCACTGATCTCACAGTTTAGCAATACAGTGCTGTTTTACATGACTACTACATAATTCAAGACTCCAGATCACAAATATTGCACAATGATTTGCTTTAAAGACAAATGATTGAATCATAACAGTTCATAAACAGTCATATCAAAAATAGATCTTTTACAAAACATTCATACTAGCATTCACATCAGTTACACAGAAAAACAAATCTGTACAAAAGAAAAATAAAACATCACTGGTTCTCACTCTAATGTAGTTTACATTCATTAACCTAGGGAAATTTTCATGTCACTTGCTTCAATCATATGTTTACTCTACATGTGTATTCATATGTAACAATCATTCAAGTACCGGTATATATGTCTTTATCAATTTTTACACTTGATTACAAATTTATGAAAAAAAAAATGACATGTCTACGCCCTATTCTCTGAACTCCAAGGTCAAGGTCAAAGGGTTAATGTTCTTGGTATCCAATGAAGTCTTTTTAAAAGGACTATATATGTGAAGTATGAAAACATTCAAAACATGATCAAGGTTAAAGTTTTCTCATTAGTACAAAAATCGTCAAGGTCAAAGGTCAAGGTTATTGGTATCAAATAAATGGTCTCGCCACAAAGAATACATATGTGAAATATGAAAGTCCTGGTTTCTACTGTTCAAAAGTTGTGGCCAAGGTCAAAGTTTTTGAAAAGTAGGTCAAACTCTAGGGTCAAGGTTAAAGGGTCAAAGTTATTGGTATTCAATGAAAGGTTTTATCAGAAGAATTATATATATGAAGTATGAAAGTCCTAGGCCTTACCATTCAAAAGTTATGGTCAAAGTTAAAGTTTTTTCATAAGAACGGAAATCTCCAAGGTCAAGGTGAAAAGGTCAAAGTTGTTGGTATCAATAAAAGGTCTTGCTCAATTCAAAAGTTATGGCCAAAGCAAAAGTATGAATTTTTGTGTAAAAGTGGGTCAAACTCCAAGGTCAAGGTCAAAAGGTCAAATTTGGTGGTACCAAAGAAAGGTCTTGTCACAAGGAATACACATATTAAATATGAAAGTCATAGCTCCACTAAATCAAAAGTTATGGGCAAGGTTAAAGTTTTTGTGACGGACGGACAGACTGACAGACAGACAGACGGACAGACGGACAGCGGATTGAGATTTAATGTCCCCTCGCTTTCGCGAAAGCGGGGGACAAAAAAACATGTTCTCTGTATAAGTCTCAACACATACAAATAAAGTATACAAATGTGTAAGAATTCCAGCTCAATTGGACCTGCACAGTATACTCAATACACAGAGACCAACATCGGGGAACAAACATTCTCCAAATGTTTCATACTGAATCAGGATAAAAAGAAAGAAAATGATGAGGTTACAGACAAACCAGGGGGAAGAAACAAATAACTTCAAAATGTGACAGATCAACTTAATATTCTACATACATTTTGGAATAAAAATAACAGTATTTTTTCTTTTCCTACATCGTCTCCAATCATGAATCTTCCATTACAAGAGTTTTCCAGAACCGGTGTACTCACTGCCATATAAAATACAGCATTGTATTGTCTTTATCCATCTGTTGATTGGTGGTGGTGTCCGTGTGTTGGTTGGTGGTGGTGTCCATGTGTTTCATGGTGGTGGTGTCCATGACTTGGGTGGTGGTGCTCATGTGTCTGTTGATTGTGGTGCCCATGTGTCTGCTGATTGTGGTGCCCATGAGTATGATGGTTGTGGTGTTCACTTGAATGGTGACTGTGGTTTGGAAGGGGTCTTCGGAAAAGTAATATATGAGGTTCTAAAACAACAAATAACATTCATTGAAAATCTACTCAAATACATGTAGATCATTGTAGATACCTAAACAAGGATTATCTCCCTGATAAATCAAGAGATATATTAACAACTCATATCCTATGAATCAATAAAATGCAATTTTGATTTAATCAATATAAATTTTATTTATCTGGAATTATAAATATAACACAGTGCTTTCCCTAAGAACCAGCTACTGGGCAAATTGACCGCTTCAATTGACAAAAATGCCGCTTTGAAATAAGAAACGAAAATTTAATTGCTGTAAGGTCAGAAGAGAACCTCTAACCCCAGCCTGTTACAACTGATCTCTAGCCCTTTACTTTGAAATAAAGGGAAAACCTTGATAACATTTTCGTCTTTACTCTTTAATATATATGAAGATTAACAATATGAATTTCCAGCTTTGGTAATGCTAGCTTTTCGTGTACATATATTAAAATCACTTCCACTCGGACCAAGATTGAAAAAAATTCTTTGTTTGCAGTTGCCAACCCATGAATTTTAATTTTGGAAGGTGGGTTGGCATGTGGCAGCTAGCACTTGATAACTTGTGTAGTAGCTGAGCTAAAATTCAGTTGTCCCGGACTATTAGGCTTACATTTATAGTGTCAAAATCTGCAAGTTAAAAATTAAGCATAGAGCAATTTTTAAAAATAAATAATTATTTAGTTTGTGTACACGTCAATTATGATCTTTTGATGATTTCTTTTATATTATCAGACTGGGGTCCTCACATTTAAATATTCTTAACAAAACCTTTTACATATTCTTATTTTTCCCCCATGAATACCAAAGATACCACTGTTGTTTTTAAAATAGAACACTGGTTTATATGGATGATCAGAAACACATGCCTCAGTTAGAGAACATGACTATAGAACAACTTTCAGTTTACATGTCTTCTTGGTTAATAATGTTAACCTCTCTGGTGTACATTGTAAACACCATGCATACATTCTGTGTTGTAACAATATTAGTATACCTCTACCTCTTGTGAATAAGAAAGCCAAGAAGAAGGACATTTTTTACCATTACCATATAAAGTTTCCTACAACTATAGCAAGCATAGTGTATACTGATGCAAGACAAAACAACAGGGAGACAACTTATGCCTGGACGAGTGGTAAACAGGTATAACAGAGTCCCTGTAACATGCAGATGATTATGCCTTCTTCAGTTTTAGTCATGTTCAAAAAACATTGTAATGTTGTGATGGTTTAAAAATTTACAGATAATATATCATTGCAGAACATAAATGAATTTACAGTATCTCTTGATACTGCAAACACTGGGAATAATGAAAATGACATGCAGATAAATAATGGGTTAGAAATGAGACAATATGATAAATACACAATATTTACAGGGTTTGTTGAGATGAAATGTATGATGATGATGAGACTACTTCTGGTTTGGGTTCAAAGGTCGTCTGAACATCAGAATGTGGGGTTCTGAAAAAGTAAGGGAACCAGTTCATTACTGTATGATATGCAGATAGAGAATCCTTTGTCACATGTTTAATGATGTGGCATCTAGACTGCTTTATCGCAGAAGATTATCTCTCTCCTATTTTAAATAAGGTACATCACTCAGTAAGGGTGAAACGTTTACTGAATTTTGTAAACGTTTAAACGAACAGCAGTAAATGAAACGGTACCGTTTAAATGGGAGAATTTTATGTGTTGAATTTTTATAGATTCTTACTCATGGAACACTATTTTAATAAACCATTTTTTCACTATAATGTAAATATGAGTTGCCATTACTGTTTATTTGTTGGTTTTTAAGACGAAAGAGGAGGAAGTGTCAAACAATGAAACAAGATAGTAACATAAAAATTAAAAATATAATACAATAACATTGAGGGTTCCGGTTTACGTTCAATTTTTCAAAGCTCTATATTCGAGTATTTCAACATTATACCGTTATAAGCATGATACTTTTTTATTTTCTACAATCAATAAAAAGCAACAACAGGGGCTATTTATTTTAGAACATATAATTGGGAAAATAAAATAATACACCGCTAGTTTTCACTAATCGGAAATCGGAATTAAATATGTTAGACCATATTGGTTTCTGTTTCTAGATAGTTGTGTTTAATATTACGTTGCTGGTATATAATATCAATTATAACAGAAAACAAATGTTTGTAACAGACACAGAGTGTGTTTTCTTTGGTAAATATGAAATAAAACAACTTGTTTGGATGAAAGGTTTTTTTTTCTGATAGACGTTGATATCAACCTTCGTGTAAAAGTTTACTCAGTTTGTAAACGTTTAGAGCATTTAACCGAAACGTCGCCGTTTACACGTGTAATCGTTTCGCCCTTATCACTCAGTACCCGTAGTATATACAAAGGAAATCACAAATACTATAATTAATGTCAGTGAAATTCTACAGCATTAATAATAATCATAAGAGATTGATTGATTGAGTTTTAGAAAGGGTTACTGTATCTTAAAAGAATTCTTAGTTTAGTAAGCAGCTGAAAACTGGTTTATCTTGTAAAGCCCTGACAATTAGATTATTTACAAATCTTTAAAAACCTGAAGCAGACTGACTTTAAAGCTAGTCATTAGGAATGTAAAAAAATTACCTGGTTCATGTTTCATGTAATGGATCCAGCCCTGGCTCTGCTGAACCCCAAGACTCCGCCATTCTGTTTCTGTCATCAGTTTATTGGGAACCAGTTTAGCAATTTCTTTGGGTAACATCACATGTCTACAAAATATATTAATATATGACACAGAATACATCTGGCAATCAAAGAAGTCTGAGTAATAAAAATTTTAGGGAAGAGTCAAATATCAGTAATCGGATAGGGTCCTTTTACCTAGTGATGGGCACTCGGTTAATTTTCATAGTCAATCATCAGTTGGAATCAGTTACTGCTTCCGACGCAATTTTACTGATTATAATCAGATGTTTTAGTTTTGTACATAAAAAAAGACTACCCTATACTGGGTTATTTAAGCAGGGTGATAATTTTAGTGTATTGATAACAGCCCGTTAAAAGTTTAATCGCTAAAATAGTCAGTACTCTTTTTAGTGTTCATCTGCAAAGAGCTGAAACCCTGCATCCACTAGAATAAATTACGCCAAAATTATTGGCAAACTTTTGAGCAGACAAAATGCAAAATTTTCCACCCTCCAAGGAAACCTGCTATACGGTATTACAATTATTTCTTTAACAAGATTAATATATATAATTTATTGTTTTATTTGTTGTTTTGCTTCTGTAAAACTTTCTATACATGCATCTTTCAGTTCTTAATCACCTCTGCTTCATTGCTAGTTGGTTAGTACATCATTTTCTTTCATAAAGAAGAAATTTTAAACAAGAAATGGAAAATTCCAGAATATAATTTATCAGAAGTACGTATCTGAAGATCAATTATGAAAAATTATAATTGATCATCGGAATCCGTACCAATGTTTCGTTGCCAATCCATGTTTTCTGATTATCTGTACACCAGTACTTTTACCTCTCTGCAAAACTGGGCTTAATACAGTTTTTTTATGGGTGGCAATGTAGCTACTGGTCGTCCATCCTATTTTTTTTCAGACCTGAGACTACAGTTCTGTAGCGACCTTTTACCAGGCCTGCATGTAACGATTTTCAGCCCTATTCCCCTAATACAAGTTTTCAAACGTTATCCAAGAAACTAAAGTATCTAGACATTGAGATCTTAAGCTATATGTATATGAACAAGTGCTGCATAACACGTGACAAGTGACCCCTTTAGTCTATATACATTTATTGAAACCAGAGACGTATAATAAGAGAGGTTCTCTGTTGAAACGAATTATCAATAGAGGAAATTCGAAAGTGTCCTGTCCAGACACATCTTCGTGTTTGTTCATCAGGCAGGTCTCGCTTACCTATACTCATACTGCTCATCTGTATATTTGTCAGAGTAATATATATTCTTATGCGCCATTTCACGTCCAAAATATATTTTAAAAATAAATGCGTGTAACCTGTCTTCTAACTTTGCGCCAAACTCCGAGTTCAAAATTAACATGCGAAATCTGATTCGCTGAATATAGGTCACATGGTTTAGGCTATTGAACCTCGATCCCGAGTAAAATCAATGGTAAGATTATAATATTTATACCGTTTCTTCTTCATTTTCACACTATTGATATAATTGTTCACTCTTTCTTAAAGTTTAATAAATATGCTGATTCTATATAAAGGAATTTATTTGGTATAATATTTTCAAGCATTTTTTTTTCTCATTTTAAGTTATTGTTGAGACGACTTAATAATTTTCCTTACCCATGTTGACTTTAAGGACAGATGATACAAACAAAAAATGGATGTCTGGATTGGTATATATTTTTTGACCTAATTTCATTGCAAATGATGCAATGATAAATTTCTAGAATATAAAGAAATTGTAAAACCTTCTGTGATGTTCAAAATTCTACCCTTGTGAAAGAATCCTTATTATTCTATACAAATATTTTTCACTTCAAATTCCATTTTTGAGCAACTTTGTTTAAAAATCTAAAACCTACGTGGAGAAACTTGTTCATTTTATTCATTAAAACATGACTAAAGTTGTTATTTTCAAAATTTTTGACAAAAGTTTGTTTGTATCATGTATCCTTAAGCAGGGTTTTTACGTAATGTTCAGACAGTCTATGTCAACCATTTTTAATCCATAATTGAATGAACTAATTATTTTGAAAACTTGAAATTGTTACTGAACAAAAAGAATATTTTTGTTTTTTGTTGTATTATACCCCACCGGTGCCCCCACCCGGTGAAACAACAAAACCTTTGGTACGGATTTGTGAAATAATAATTATGATACTTTTAAAGAGGAATTGTTGTTTCACGGGGGGTGGGGGTGAGGTGGGGATGGGGAGATGTTTTTAAAATAAGTTTGATTTTCCGTTTTCTGTTGTTGAATATATATAGTGAAAAACACGTTTGCCGTACCCAAATTCAAGATTTACATGTATCTCTCTTGGTCTTCCCAAACAAGTTTTTGAATATTCTTTATGGAAATTTACAAATATGAACATATCATTCAAATGTGTTAAAACATTTGAAAATTCAACTTGGGGGCAGAACAATATACTAAGTTGTTCACACCCGTTCTTTTAAAAAGTTGCATATTAAGGTTAATTCAAACATGTGTATTCAAAATATTTAAGATAAGAAAACAAATATCGTCTAAATAACCAATTGCAGTTGGCAGTAAGCAACTGGCATTTCGCAGTAAGAAGTTAGCACTTGGCAGTAAGTAATGAGCAGTTGGCTGTTATGGAATGCCATATACGACAGCCAACTGCTTACTGCCAACTGCGTACTGCTTACTGCCAACTGCCACACATATTTGAATAAATTTTCATATTTTCGTTGATATTTATGGAATGCCATATGCGACAGCCAACTGCTTACTGCCAACTGCTGACTGCTTACTGCCAACTGTCAGCTGCTTACTGCCAACTGCCACACATATTTGAATAAATCTTATTTTTATATTGATATTTATGTAAATTGAAAAAAAGGCGCGGATCTATAGGACATTCTTTCCAAGAGGGTCACTCTGGTTCTTATGCGTCATACCTTCATTTTTCATACCGACTTAACACAAATCCACATTTTCGGTTGGGGGGGGGGGGGGGGTTCTAAGGTCCCTTTTAGTTGATTTATTTTATACATTAAATAACTTTTAGTTGAATGGAGTAAATGGGACACTTTCATAAAATTTCTAAACTTCTAAAAAATAAGCTAATAGATGAATTTTCATATTTCGCATAAGTTTTGTATAGTTGCAATTTTGCGTTAGATAACTATAGTGCAAATTTTTGTTTTGTTTTAGAACTATAAAAATAATGGAAACGGAAATTTATTTTCAAAACATCTTTCTCTGCGAAACGACAAATCTTTTTTTATTATTATTATTCTCTCTTCAAAGGTTTTGTTGTCTCCGGGGGAGGGGGAGGGGCTTCTTTAAAGATTAAAAGCAGAAAATGGTCATTTTATTACCTATTTCAAATAGCAAAACAAATAAAAAAGACAAACAATGTACTTTATCAACCGCATATATTGAATATTACATAAGATAAAACATATTGGTCATTTTATTCTATTCAATTTTACCACAGTGAATCCGTGCTTTTTTTTTCCTTTTTTTGTGAAAATTCATTATCAATATAAATATAAAATTTATTCAAATATGTGTAGCAGTTGGCAGTAAGCAGCTGACAGTTGGCAGTAAGCAGTCAGCAGTTGGCAGTAAGCAGTTGGCTGTCGTATATGGCATTCCATAGATATTTATGTGAATTGTCAAAAAAAAAAAAAAATAAATAAATAAATAAAAAAAAAAAAACATGGATCCAGGATTTTTTCCAGGAGGGATCCACCCCAGTTAAAATAAATCGAACTCAGAAATTTCTTGACAAGAAAAATAACGTAAACTCGAGCTCCTTTCGTAAACGTGAAAAATTATTTTGGCGGTATGGGTGGGTTGTGCTCCATATCTTCATATCTATGACTTTTCATACAAATTAACTTAATACAGATCCGCGTTTTCGGGGAGGGGGGGTGTTCCAAGGTCAGTTTTAAGTACTTATTCTAAAAACCATGGACAAAAAGTTAATTGCTCGTATGTATAACTCCTTTAATAAGGGGTAGATTTTATCAATTGAAATCAGACTGAACATATCATCAGATCTTCAAATACTAATGAAAATGGATAAATGACTCCTTAATCTCATCGTATGTTTTTATTAATGTAAAATTCAACAAATGAGATTGATAAAGTATATTATTTTTTATTTGCTATCTTATAAAATGACTATTTTCCAGTTTTTAATCCCCCCTCATGACATAACATGAGACAACAAAGTCGTTGGAAAGGATAAAAACTGAAAAAAGGATTTGTTGTTGATTCACAGGGGAGTTATTTTAAAAATAAATTTCGATTTCAAACTAAACCAACTAAAAAGTTATATAATGCAGAAATTAAAAGGGACCTTGCCCCCCCCCCCCCCAAAACCGCGGATCCGTGTTTAATTGAAAAATCTCATAGACTTAAAGCATTAGAACCCCCCCCCCCCCCCTGCCAAAATAATTTTTCACATTTAGGAATTTAACTGAGTTTACTTTTTTTCTTGTCAAGAAATTTCTGGGTTGGTTTTTTTTCTACCCGGGTGTCCCTCTTGGAAAAAAAATCCTGGATCCGCCTCTGTTTTTTGAAAATACACATGAATATATCAAAATAAAATAAGAAAATTTATTCAGATATGTGTTGCAGTTGGCAGTAAGCAGCTGACAGTTGGCAGTAAGCAGTTAGCAGTTGGCTGTCGTATATGGCATTCCATAGGCTGTCGTATATGGAATTCCATACAATACCGTACGTTGTTCTTTGCTATACCAATTGTTTGTATTCTATAGTTGTGTTCTACTGTAGATTATCATGCTTATTACTTTGTTCTGTATGGGCCTTTACCAATTACTGTAATTGTGTTTGTGCCAATAATTTTTTTTTTTTTGGTAAATTCTCGCTTACATAATTGGGTCTATAAGATATTTCGTTTTTTTTCGTGAAGTTACATCGCTTACTGTGTTCTGGAAGGAGTATTTTAAGAGAATTTCATTAAATACATTTGTTATTTGGAGATTGATAAAGTTTACATTTAATTCACCTTAGACTTAAATTCCATAGGATATATCAACAGCTTTTTCAAGGCACCATTAGAATTTTTCCAAAATGAATTATCGGAGTTAGGAGGACGATACACACCGCGGAGGAGAATATTGCAGGAAGTCTCGCTAATTTCTATCCAGACACATTTGATATAATCATTAGAGTCACCCCACCCCAGGCACTCCTGACCAAGGGCCTTGAAATTCACAATTCTGGAAGAAGCACCCTTAAGCTTACTCATCATAACTATATACTCAACAGAGCCCCACCCTAACACCAGTATCCCTGAACCAGGGGCCATGAAATTCGCAATATTGGAAGAGGCGCCCTCTTCATCATACCTATGTACATAGTTCATTGGTTTAATACCCAGGAACACAGAAGGTTTTCAAAGAATTAAAGCATTTTCACTTTTATTATAAATAAAGCTCCGCCCTTACATCAGAATCCTGACCCAGGGTCGTGGAATTCACAATTTTAGTAGAGGCAACCTTCCTCATCATGACTAATAGTTCACCGGCTTTATCCCAGGGGTAGAGGAGATTTTCAAAGAATTAATGCCTTTTTATAATATTATGTAATCACTTGAGCCCACCCTAACACCCTAACACCAGAACCCCTGACCCAAGGGCCATGAAAATCAGCTTGGTAGATAGACCTACTTTTAAAAACTTTAACCTTGACCATAACTTCTAACGGTAAGGGCTAGGGCTTTCATACTTCACATATATAATCCTTGTGCCAAGACTTTTTCTAGGATAACAACAACTTTGACCATTTGACCTTGACAGATTGACCTATTAAAAAAAGCTTTAACCTTGACCACAACTTTTCAACGGTAAGGGTTAGGTCTTTCGTACTTCACATATGTAATCCCTGCGACAAGAACCTTTCCTGAAGTAATAACAGCTTTGACCCTTTGACCTTGACCAGGGAGTTTGACCCAATTTTTTTTTTAAATTTAACCTTGGCCATAACTTTCAGGTGGTGCTAGGTCTTTCATATTTCACAATTGTATTTCTTGTGAGAAGGCCTTACTTTGGGTACCAACATATTTGATACATGCATTTGAGAAAGTTTAACCTTCGCTATGTTGCCATACGGGGGCATCAGTGTTTAACAAACACATCTTGAGTTTTTTTCTTTTCTTTTTTGCCAAACATTATCTACAATGTTTTATTATTATCATCTAGAAATAATTATGTCAAATGTGTGTGGTACAACAAATATTTATCTAAGTTATGAACCCCCTTGAATCAATAAGAAAACAGCCACGTGCGTCTCTATTCATTGGGATGCTTACTCGTACCAGGCACTTGCCCTTTTTTCCAATTTTATTGTCTTTTGAAAGGATTAACTCTTCAGAAATATTTGAAAAGTTAAAGCCCAGGAGCGAGACGGAAAAATTAACAAAGTTTACCATATAGTTCAACGTCGCAGAGTTACTCGACGTAGAATACATTTAACATTAACAAGTAACTTTTCAAGAACATTAAAGCATCTATTTCATATAAGTTAACAGAGATTTAATATGCCTAATCATGTCTATAAATGCTCCCAAATCAGACAATGAATATACAAGATTAGTATCGCTTCTTTTGAATGTCATTAGAGAGTGTTACCATCCGGAAAAAGTATAGGGCATTTAAATTTTTCGAATAAAAAAATTATTGTAGAGTGTAAAGCACCTTGAATCTGCAGACGAACGGGACCAAAATGGAATATGACGAGTTAATTAGAGGATTTGGAAATTTTGGGAATTACCAGAGGCGGTTGTACATCGTGTTATTTTTGCCGGTCATATTTAATTCGTTTAGCTCACCTGTGACCAATTTTCTTGTTGGACTCCAGAGGCACAGGTAAGCGAGTTAAAATGAACCCAATCTTATAAAGTGTAAGGTTCACAGCTGAGAATTACTGAGATGTTCTTACTCAGTTGTTGCGCCATCTAATCCCCAATACTAGTATACCAACTTAATTTTGATGTAATACTAATTTTTTTGCTATGGGCTAGAACTATAGTTTTGAAAAAGACAAGCTATATGGCTTGGTGCAAAAAAGGGCTGTGGTCAAGAGAGTAAGACAAAAGAAAAAAAATGTGAAACCATGATGGTAAATTCAAACTCTATATTATGAGGAAACGTTACAAGCTGCCAGAAAGCGTATTCAAGGTTGGTTCTTTCGGTTTATCACACCGACTGGTTAGAGTGCTCAGAACACTGGTTAAACCAATTCTTTTCAACTTTTTTACAGTTCTTCCGGACCCACCTCCAGATTTTTTTAAAAAAAAACTTCAAAATATGTTTTTGAATTTATTTGGGAAACTAGACAAAATCAAACGTACAGTTCTATATACATGTAATTCGATCAACAGAAAACGGAGGGCTTTGGCAATCGCTAACGATAAAACACATTCTAATGATAGAAGTATCAACGCTTGTTATAAATTATTGTATTAATAGTCGAAATTCTTAATCGTTAAAAGATATAATTCTTTTAATAAGCCATGATTTCTATAAGCGGTTGAGAATGTCGACTATTAATTAAAGCAAAAATTTATAATATTAAGCGTTTCATTGCAATGCTAAAACGATATAGCTCTCTTCTTTTCCCCCTTTTCTCTCTCCCCCAAGAAAGCAGATCAGACACAATAAAGCAAAGTTAGTTTTTTTTAAAGTTCAATATTGTTCATATGGACTTCTTTTTTTACATATTATTATATAGTGTACAAATATTTGTTTGAATCCCATGATGTTATCACAAATTTTGTTATGTAATGCTTGAATACCCATGCATGCTATGACATAATGAATGACAAAAACATTTTTTTTAATGTGCATGTAGTCACAAATAAGATTATAATTCGGTCAGGGCTAACTATAGGTGATTTTTGACAGTAATTACAAGTGTGCACTTTATCAAATTATTTTGGGATTACGATTTTTATCTGGAATCCTTTTCCTTTTTATCTCACCTGAACTGAAAGCTCAAGTGAGCTTTTCTGATCGCCTATTGTCCGCCGTCCGTCCGTTCGTCTGTCTGTCTGTCCCCCCGTCCGTCTGTAAACTTTTCACATTTTCAACTTCTTCTCAAGAACCACTTGGTAAATTTTAACAAAACTTTGCACAAAGAATCAATGGGTAAAGGAAAATTTAAATTGTTAAAATCAAGAGCCAAGTTCCCTTTCAAGGGAGATAATCAAGAAAATACAAAAATAGGGTGGGGTCATTAAAAAATCTTCTTCTCAAGAACCACTGGACCAGAAAAGCTGAAACTTATGTGGAATGATCCTTGAATAATGTAGATTCTAAATTTTTCAAATCATTAACCCCGGGGGTAGGGCAGGGCCACAATAGGGAATCCAAGTTTTACATAGAAATATATAAGAAAAAACTTTAAAAAATCTTCTTCTCAAGAACCACTGGGCCAGAAAAGCTGAAACGTATGTGGAAGCATCCTGGGGTAGTGTAGATTCTAAATTGTTCAAATCATGACCCCTGGGGATAGGGCAGGACCACAACAGGGAGTCCAAGTTTCACATTTCACATAGAAATATATGGGAAAAACTTTTAAAATCTTCTCAAGAACCACTGGGCCAGAAAAGTTTAAATTCTATTTTAGATACATGTAATTTATTTGTAAAACATACATGTCGTGATTTTCTAACTACAAAATAAACCTCTTTGTTTGGTTTACGTTGAAGGGGGATAAATGTTAAATTGTAAATGGATATGATAATATTTATCTTGCGGAATCAAAGTGTCATTACAGTAGTGTATATTAGTCTGTCAAATACAAGTTTAAATAAATGCCGGGAACAAACGATTGGTCTAACACGAATGAAGTCTGACAATTAACCGTGAAGGTTGGCATACAAAGACAACCAATGCCCTGTAAAATGGTCAGATAACAAAATACACTGATCGCCCCTAATCCAGAACCCCTCGGCCTTTAAAGCACTACTTAAAATATTAAGGATTAAAAGAAAAGTGGACACAGAAATAAAATCTGGTAACTTGCTTGATTTAAGGAGGAATGCCACACCAACTTTTTAATTTATAGATCTCTGAGTCAACCTTTTTAAACAATGGTTTTAGCACTGAAAGGCCGACATTAGCTTTTAATTATTTTATATGAATTTTTTTGTACTTTTTCAAAGAAAATTAAAAAAATTATTTACAACAAATTAGATGCTTTCTTGTAAAAATTTTGCTGTAAATGAATGCATCACATGAATACCTAATAAAATATGTAAAGAAAAGCTGTATAGATGTTACAAATTTTTAGATAGAAAAATATTTATGAAAATAAAACACATAATTTGTGAATATCTTTTAAACTTGTGGTTAAAAACTTCTTAAAACCAGACACAACTGGGGAGAACATGTTTGTTAATCGTACATATAAAAGAAATTGAAACGAAATGGCCAAATTTTAGAGAAATTATTTTTTTTTTTATTTTGACCAATCTCGATCAAAATTAAACCGATCCCAACCATAATTGTACAATTAATGGAAATAAATAACATTTCCCCAAATACACTAGTCTGATTAGGCGTAATTTAGGTTAAAACATTATTGAACCTGACAATAAAATAGATTTCTTTATTGTAAATACATGAAGAGGCCATAAATTTAATTTTGATCGGGTTAGTCCAAATATTAAAAAAATTAATTTCTCTAAAATTTCTCAGTTTCGTTTCAATTTCTTTTTAAAATATGATTGACAAACATATTGTCCTCAGTTGTGACTAATTCGATGGTGTTTTTAACCATAGGTTTAAAAAATATTTACAAATAATGTATTCTATTTTCATAAATAATTTTTTATTAAAAAAAATTAAAAAGTCTAACCAGCTTTTCTTTACGTATTTTATTAGATATTCATATGATGCATTCATTTATAGCAAACTTTTAACTCGAAAACAACTTAAATTTTTTCATTTTCTTTGAAAAAAAAATACTAAAAAAATTCATAGAAGATAATTCAGAGCTGATATCGGCCTTTCAATGCTGAAACTACCGTTTAAAAGGGATGCCTCAAAGATTTATAGAATAAAAAATTGGTGTGGCATTCCACCTTAACATTTGATGGCGTACTACTATCTATGGTGTCCGGATAGGGTCATAAGCGCGTTCAGAAAAAACAAGCCGTCGCTCAAACACAAGTTCGCACAACACACCGTCGTGCTAGCACACAACTCGCGATCGACGGCTTGTTGTGTGTTAGTGCGATGGCGTGTTGCTTGAGAGCGTGTTATCGCGACTGCGTGTTGTGTAGTATAGCGTGACAGCATATTGTTTGAAAGCGTGATTGCGTGTTGTGAGCTTGTGCAAATAGCCCTATCAGGTCACCATTACTTTCTCATAATATCGCAACATTTACACCTCCTTCGCGTCAAAAAATATAAATATTCAAAATTTTAACGTTTCATTAAATTGTATTCAAAATTTCAAGTAATTAAGATTTTACTGGCAAATTATTTTCCAATCAAAGTCATTCGATAAAGGTTGAAATTCAATAACCTCGATATTTATAGCCTCCCCCATCTTGAAAAGTGAGAGGGTATATAGTAATCAAGATGTCCATCCGTCCGTCCGTTTGTTACGCTTTGGGGTACCTATCTCTGATCTGCAACTCCTTCTATACCACTGAATAGAATTTAATGATACTTTCACAGAATATTTGTTATACAATGTGCCATCATGTAATTTTTTTTTAATTTTTGAGCGGACACATATTTTGAGTTTCCCAGAGCAAAAAAAAAAAAAAAAAAAAAAAAAAAAAAATGGACACGACTATTCTTTCTACAATATTGAGGGGTACCCATCCCTTATCCGCAACTCCTCCTGTACCACTGAATCGATTTAGGAAACTTTAACAGAATCTTTGTTACATAATGCCCTTGTGACCTCCTATTTTACTTACTGATCTGACACTTTTTTTTTTCGCGTCTCCCGGAGCAAAACATGGACTTTGACATTATGTGAGACGGGAGGTACCTCTAGTTTACACTGAAATACCGGAAAGTTTTAAAAGTCTTTCTTGTTTACGAAAAGATAATTTAATTTAGCAGAGCTATTTAGATTTTTATTAGTCACATGAAAAATATATTCTATTTAATACAGGTGTAGGATCCCAGGTTTAGACAATGACACTTACAAAATACAAAATGAAAATCACCAGCAGTTAATCAACCGGACAATACCAAGAAATCTAGACGGTGACTATGAGGAATGCTTGGTGGTATCTAACGCCTCCTCGGAAAAGTGCAATGACTGGGTGTACGACACATCTATGTTCCAAAGTACAGTCAATTCACAGGTAGAAGAAGATGTCTTTGCGAAACACTGATGCCCCATATGACAGCTTATAGCTTTGAAGTTTCTCAAGTGCAATTCAAACTCCAAGATCAAAGGTCAAAATTATCAGTCATATCAATAGGAATACACATATAAAATATAAAAGCCCGAGTACTAAAGGTTCAAATGCATGGTCAAGGTTGAAGTTTTTAACAAGGAGGTCAAACTCTAAGGTCAAGGTAAAATATTTTTAAACCAATTAAAGGTCTTGTCACAGTGAATACACAGACACATGTGAAGTATGAAGACCATAACACCAACTATTCAAAAGCTATGGCTAATGTTAAAGTTCTGGAATGTTTTGGTAAAAGTGGGTCAAACTCCAAAGTCTAGTCCAAATTTGGTGGAATCAGAAGAAAGGTTTATCACAAGCTAGAGCTCTTATACTTAACAAGTGTATTTATTTTGACAAGGCCTATCCATGTGTATAAATATTTTTGACCTTGACCTTTGAATTGACCTGCTTAAAAAAATTAATCCTTTTGATACCAACAATATTGACCTTTTCAACTTGACGCAGACGTTTAACCTATTTCTGAAAAACTTTAACCTTGGCAGTAAAATTTGAACAGCTGATATTAGGACTTTAATATTTTAAATGTGTGCTCTTTTGACAAGACCTTCCCCTGGATACCTTAAATTTGACCTCTTGACCTTGATCTTGGAGGTTGACCTACATTTAAAGAAACTTTAACTTTGCTGGTCATAACTTTATTAGTGGTTACCGCTTGGTCTTAAATTATATTTCAAAGGTATATTTATTAAGGATGACGTTTACTCAGGTTTTAGAAAACAGAAAGGAAATTTCATAAAGTATAATATGTTTTATCAAAATTTGTTCTAAATGGATAAAATTACTAAGTATTAACTCAATTTCAATTTAAAAATTTCATATTTTATTATTTGAAGAAAATATACAGGAACAAAAGTCAATGTATGGTAATGCAGAGGAAATTCGGACTAAATTTTTCATTTTTCATTTTTGTCAAAATCTTTTATTTCTTGCAATATTAATCACAAAGGCTATATGTATATTTAGACATCATTTTGCAAATTTTATATATATGTTATATGTATATTTAGACATCATTTTGCAAATTTTATATGTCTTAAAGCTCATAAATTATTTCAAATAATTGATTATGCTATCAAATAAAGAAATTCAAAATTATTAACAAAAACTATTTTAGGCAACATATCTCAATAATTTGATCATTGACCCCATATAATGTTAATACCATGAGAATAATGGCAACAAAGGTAATACGAGGCTATAAATAATTTAGAGTTCTTATCAGTCAGATTTTTTAAATATGCAATTAAAAATGCGGGGAAATATAAAGACAACAGAGGAAATTCGGACTGTAATAATTATCAAGTTTATGGCCCAAACTCTGATCGTTTTTTTTATATGGAGCAACACTGTTCCAATGCTATAATATTTCATTATTTAAAGTGTTTTGCTTGTAATATTTTGTGAATGAAGAAAAAATGGGTCATAGTGTGAAAAATTGAGGTATTTCTCGAGAAATACTCAGGGGCCACTAGCAAGAAAAGTAGGTCATTGACCTAGTTATTTCAAATTGAAATTTAACACAAGAATTATAGATGTAAAATGTGCAATAGGTGGTTTTCCGTTCTTATCAGTGGAATTTTCAGTCATCTGAGTAAAGGTATACCTTAAGAGACTTTCTTTTTAGGTAACAATATATTTCATCTCTAAACCTTGGAGTTTGACTTAATTTGAGAAACTTTAACCTTCGCCAAAAGCTGCAATACGGGGGCATCAATGTTTCACAAACACATTTTTTTTCAAAAATGTCTGTAATATCCTTTTGTGAACTGAATTTCCTCCACTTCTAAAGGAGAACAGAGTTGTATTTTTGGTTATCAGATTAGAATTGTTCTTTGAGGAATATATGTATTAAGGTGTCACAATACTCAATTCTAACTCGTTTTAGTTTAAACTGGCCTGCAACCAGAAATTCATGCATTGTTGTCACATTTCTTCAGTTTAACTTGGTTTGTGACCGGAAACTGATGGGGTCCCATGCAGTGATGGCCTATTTCATTGGTACCGTAGTGTCAACTATTGTTTTTGTTCCTCTTGGAGACATGTAAGTGATCGACATAGGTAAAAGTTCTGTAAGGAACTTTATAATTAACTAAGACAGTTGATGTAAATGCCTTTGGATTTATGTTTTTAATATTCAGATTCTGTTTCCCCTTCTTATCCTGCTTCAATATCGGTTTCGTCGAGGCGCAGTGGTTAGAGTGTCTTCTCTAGTGTCGCGAAGTAAGGAGTTGATCCTTACGTCGCGGGTTCGAATCCCACTATGGGACGTAGAAATCGGTCCTTCGGATGAGACCGTATAAACCGAGGTCCCGTATCGCACTAGATGCTGGCACGAAAATGACCCCTCACTGCTCAAAGGCCATGAGTGCCGAGCATTAGACAAAATTTGCAGCTCTCTACCGGCAAGAGGTGGCGTCTCCATATGAGTGAAAAAATTCTCGAGAAGGATGTTAAACAACATGAAATCAATCAATCAATATCGGTTTCAATTGTACTTTGAATCCATTCAAAGAACAGAAAATTAAACTCTGTAAGGAACAAGGACTAGAAAACCTGGGCTGTTCTGTTTACACATTTATATCAACTTTCTGTTTTCATCAGAAAGTAGGTAGGGATACAATACGCTATACACTGTATATGTATATGATATTGTGTAAAGTTTGTTTCTGCAGAGTGGGTCGTCGATACATGGTATGTATAAGTACAACTCTGACCTTCCTTGCCAACATAGCTATGCCTTTCTCCACCAACATTTACATGTTCGCAGTCTGTCGATTCTTTGATGGATTTTGCGGAAACTGTCTTTACATGGCCGCTTTTATCATAGGTGGGTATCCTCTTGCCTTTTGATGTTCAGAATTAAAGATACGTGATCTTTTCACACATATAATATCTATAATATATCTATAATATGTGCTTTAAACAGCCATGGAGTTTGTTGGACCAAAGAACCGAATTTTGGCGGGTACCTGCATACTTCTGGTGTATTGTCTGGGGGAGTTTCTGCTGCTTTTACTGGGGTTTTTAATCAGAGACTGGAAGTGGTTACAGCTCACACTAGCTGTTCCCATGGCCATACCGTTGTTATATTGGTGGTAAGTATCAAAGTACCACAGTTTCGTACCTAGAATGTTATTAGAAACATTTTATTGTATTTTTCAATCGAGAGAAAGAGATACTCTCTCTTAGATCTGTAATATTTGGATATCCTATATAATGAGATGACATATTGCGTTGCATTTTTCAGGCCTAAAGTGTTGCCAGAATCTCCTCGGTGGTTGGTTTCTAGGAAAAGATACACAGAGGCCTTGGCAATTTTGCGAAACGTCGCCAAAGCAAACCACGTGGAATTTAACAAAGACCTCTCTGACATAAAGATAGGGAAAGATGAAGGGATTCTAAAAATTCTTAAGGATCTTCTCAAATCCCGAAAACTATTGCTTCGTTCCATCATAATGTTTTCTAACTGGTAAAAATACTGTTATGTTACAGACAAGGACCCGAAATCGCATCATTTATGCAATAAAACATACAATTCACTATTTTTACACCTTCCTTTATGGTTTTTATTTTCTTCCAAGGTTTGTCATCTCCTTTATATACTATGGACTTACCTTGAACATGGGCAAACTTGCTGGTAACTTGTATATTAACTTTGCCATCGGCGTGACCGTGGAAGCCCTGGGATACTCGCTGTGTTTTCTGATGAACAAAACTGGCAGGAAACCCATGCACCTTGTAGTCATGTTTGGCAGTGGATTCGGGTGTTTGCTTTCCATTTTACCAACTCTTTTCTTCGATTCCTGTAAGTCTGTTACTATCGGTCACTTTTGAAATGATATAAAAATATTGAAAGCTGAAACAATCATTTTATTGAATAACACATGCCACGTAATATATTTTAAACATTCAACTCATATTTTATTTGTAATTGCCGTGGTACGCAATCGTTGGAGATAGTGCTAACCCAAGTGCTTTTACCTGTGGGTTCTTTTTCAGGTAGCCCACATTTTATTAGGTCACCTGAGTCACTCAGGTGACCTATTGCTATCCTTTTTTGTCCGTCGTCGTGCGTTGTGTGTTAACATTTTAACATTTTCAGCTTCTTCTATAAACCAGTTTCAACCAATTTCAGCATCTTTGTTTTAAAAAGAACAACAACTGTAAAATTCATGGCTCCTGTCCCCTCCCCCCCCTTCGGTAGATGGGGGCTGAAGGGTGGGGCAAAATTAATACAAACTTTAAAAAATCCTCTTCTTTACCCCTGGACACCAAGCAGCCAAATTGTTCGAATGATTGTAATAAGCATTGAGTCCTCTACGAAAATTGTGAAATTCATGACCCCAGGGTAAGGGGTTCTGGTACTATGGCGGGTCTCTAATGATTATATCTTGCAAATGCATGAATTGTTTGAAAATCTTTTCCTCTGCTCCTGTGTATTAAACCAGTGAGCTATGTATGGGTGGGTGGGCTCTAATATTTATGTTTATTTGTTGGAAAGTTGTTAGATGATAATCAGGTTACTTACAAGGCCCGTGGGCCTGTTGTTGACTTTATTTCTAGCTTTGACGTGGCTCTTAGTCGCGTTTGCGATGGTGGGGAAGTTTGGGATCTCGGCAGCGTTCGGTGAGATCTACATTTACACAGGAGAACTGTTCCCTACAGTGGTCAGAAGCTTCGTTCTTGGTTTCTGTGGAATTGGAGCAAGGCTGGGGGCAACTATCTCTCCCTATGTATACCACTTTGTTAGTATGATTGCGAGCTATTCTTGCAAACTTGTTGATACCTGCATAGAAATTAATTATTTTTGCATATTTATTGACAAGCAGTAATATGCCCAAAGGACAAGGTCTTGAAATGGCCCTCCTTTAGGTTTTATTCTTACCAATTCATTCCAATCGCATTTGACAAAAACTTGATACAAATACGTATGACGAATTTACAATTTTTGGAATTGACCATTACGATTCCGAATCTGACATCCTGTCAGCTACACTATAACGCCGAGACGGTACTTGGACTGGACTGTAGTCATTCTATAGTCCTTTATAAATATGAGTATTTTTTTAAAAATACTTTTTAAAGCAAATATTTTATTTGTCGATTTTAACTTTAAATTTAACCCAATTTTCAGAAATAGAATTCACGTATTAATTGTATACTCAGTATTTGTTCTGCAAATTTCCTGAGATGACTTTCATTGATCAATGATTATTTTCATCAATCATTCGTACATTTTTAGGTAGTTTGATAAATTTTTTTAAAATTATTTCTTATTTCAATGAGTACACTTGAAACAGTGAGGGGGGGGGGGGGGGGTTCTCTCACTTTAAATCTCCATGGAAGTAAACTTTTTATTTTCTTGATTGCGCCTTTCATTTCTATTTAAATAAACTATGGGGAAGGTTATACTTCTTACTAGTATTTAAACAAAGTTTGTCAATTTTTAACATTTCACTGGTAAACCAAAACTACACAAAAATTAAAATACCACTTATAAAAACAGCCTTAAAAATCATATTATCATGAATTGTTGATTGATTGTATGTTGTTTAACTTCCCTCTCAAGAATTTTTCACTCATATGGAGACACCACCACTTGCCGATGGAGAGCTGCAAATTTTCTCCTATACTCGGCACTTACGGCAATTGAGCAGGGAGGCATTTTTTGTGCCAGCACCTATTGCGACAAGGGACCTTGGTTTATATGGTCTCATCCGAAGGACCGGTCTCCACGTCCCACAGCGGGATTTGAACCCACGACGTAAGGATCAACTACTTACTTCGCGGCTCTAGAGCAGACGCTATAACAACTGCGCTACGTGGGCGACTAATGTTGAAAGAAAAAGATTCACTTTTTTGAAAGAAAATAAAACAAATAACGGTCAACTAATGGCATATGAAATATAGTAAATCATATATTAATGAAGTTACATTTTCCGTCATTGATCAATGCTTGTTTTCATTATCATTATTATACATATATGTTTAGAGCGAGAAAGAAAGGTAATATTTAAACACAATGAACGGAGAACTTTTCTCTTTAGATGAAAAAGTGTACTTTGACAAATTTCCAATTTTTAAAAGCTAGTATACTATTACTTATAACGTTTGTTACTGGCTGTTTACAGAAATATATTGGGGTTGGTATGGGCGGCGGAAAGGATAAAAAAGACGTTTATGCAAAACTAAAAACTAATTTTATAAACATAATGAAGTACAAAACAGACAACCTTAAAAACAAAATCAACAGACTCGTTTGCAAAATCAACAGACTCCAATGCGAAACCAACGATCACCAATGCAAAACCAACAATTATTCACTGAATTGTCGCTAGATGGTCGGCAAAAAAACATATATTACCTGAATTAACGCTAGATGGCGTGCAAGTTTTTTTTTTTACGTTATCATTACTTTTGTACTTCTCAGGATCCAATTGGTAAACCTCGGAATGTATTGTAGAATATATTATCGGTATCGAAATTATTTGTACTAGTATAATTATTGGAATACATTTAATAAGGGATCATATACTACCGGTATATAGTACATTATGTACCCATTTTTATCTATTAGATTGACCCTGTGAATATTTTAGGGAATGACTTGAGTACTTTAAAATATTCATAAAGAAAAGAAATTAAGGCAAGATGTGTGTATCTATATCTTTTTTTGGGGGGGGGGAGAAATTAGGCAAAATGCACATGGGACAAGGTCTACTGCGCATACCATGGCAAAGATGCCACCACACCTTGTACAGGAGTACAATTAAGTCTCATCCTTGTAGCCCTACAGTGTAAATTTCATTGGCGGATCCAGAAGGGGGGGTTCCGGTGGTTGGATTCCCCTTTCATTTTGTACATAGAGAGAAAAATTTCTGTAATATAGAATAAGTCTAATATTTTGAAATAATGAAAAATCTTTGTCCGCTCTGCTCTGTAGATCTGTAGATTTTTGCGCACCTTCCTCCGTGTACCTTCCCAACCCCGGCTAAGAGTTCCGACCACTCACAAGTAACATGCAAAAAAAATGCAGATGGAGGGGATTCATTTTTTCTGAGAATAATCTTTTGCTGTAGTTTTAATTAATATTTTTATTTGGAAGCTCCCTCCACACTTTTTATTGCCGGAAAATACGCAGATTCAAGCATAAATAAAAGTATATAATGCAGTTACAGAAAGCCCCCTCTACCCCCAAAGAAGGACTTTAGAGTGTGGTGCAAAAGTTTTTTTTTTTTTTTGCTTGTCAACAGTTTTTGGAGCCCCCTTTCTTAGAAATATATGTAGTTACGGACTTCAAGTGGTCATGTTGTGATTCTATGCATGAGTGCTGGGGGACCGAGCTTTCGAAAATTGCTGGATCCGCCCTGAATTTCTTTTACGGTTTCAACTATACTGAAAGGAAAAAGAAACGCATAGTAAACTTTTGAATAAAATTAAAACTATCCTTTCGAATATGTTTTCCAGATTTATTGTCAAACATTCTAATTCATGTTTAATCAACAAGTTACCAAAATCTTGTGAGACTATGGAACGCCATCACTGCCTTATAGCATACAACTATGCATTTATTATGTCAATTTACCATTACGTGATGCGAACATATCTTTACGTTATGTCCATTTTTTATGAGATGATGTAAATATATCTTAACATCATGTCAATGCTGCATTACATGAAGTAAATACGTCCTTTCATTATGTAAGCACTTCATAACTTGAAGTAAAAAATTCATTATGTGAAGTGATAATGTGTTTACATTGTGTTAAAACTTTATTGCGTGAAATGAATTTTTCTTTACATCATTTCATTTCTTTAATATGTGAGGTCAAAATTGTATTACGTCAAGTAAATTGTGTTTTATAATTAAACTTATCATTAGATGAAGTCAAAAGCCCATTCCTTTTTTGAGAGTGTATATTTCTATTATATCAAAGCATTATTACGTGATATGGATTTATCTTTATTATACGGCGAGGGCATCATGATGTGAGGTGAACACATCTTACCTTTATGTCAGTGCTTTATTACTTGGTGTAAAAAGTCTATAACATAATGTGAACAAACCTTTATATTGTATCAATACTTTATTACATTATGTCAAAACTCCATTCCATGATGTGGATATATAATTACGTTATGTCAACTCTTTCTTATGTGATTTAAAAATATCTTTATATTGTGTTAACTCCTTTATTATGTCGATTCCAAAAGTTCATTACCTGATGTTAAAAAACATTTACATTATCTCAAAGCTGTACATGTATATCTAGTATATAATGAATGTTGACGACAGTGTTTTAATGACTGGTAAGAAGGGGGGGGGGGGGGGGGGTCCTGATTGATTAGGACAAATTACAGGCACATAATATCAACCCCCCCTCTTTTCCCAGACATAACTTTACTATAGAAAATGCAATGTTCATTGAAAGAGTACAGCACCCACCCCCACTTTTTGTTGAAGTATAATCCACTAAGGGTAATGTAATATATCTGGAAAAATATAGGACTGATCAAAGTTGGACCCCTCTCCCCAAAATAGGATTTCCGGGCTTGGACATTTTTTTTCTTGGCTTGTCAAGTTTTTTCGGGTAAATGATTTTTTTTTCTTGCTGACCGCCTCTTTCAAAAAAAGATGCTACGTCACTGGAGTTAGTAATTTTTTTTATCATTCCAGAGCCAGAATTCTATTACAAAAATCTACCAGTCGCTCATCTAAATCAATTGAATATGCCTTAGTAAGCATGCATGGGCACATATCAGTGGCGGGTATGGGAATCTTGAACTAGGAAGGGGGACGGTATATGGTTAGAGACCAAGGGGGGAAGCGGAGAAGCTCTCAGGCTTTATAGTTTTATAGAAAAAATTTTTCAGCTAAGCTTATTGTGAAACTAATGCAATATCCTACAAAGTTTAAGACTTTTATTAAAAAAAAAAATCAAAATAAAAAGAAAAAAATGATTGCTGTACGACTCCTAATATTTGATTTATTTAATTATGAGATTAAAGTAAACACTCTTGAATTTCGACGTTACTTTAATTCACAGTCGCAGTGTTAAGGCTTTGCACGTTTCAAGATTGTCAATCATTTGTCACTTAAAGTTTTCATTTAAAGATGTCATTCCGAAAACGCTGAGAATCTCCTCTACGATAGTTTTCTCTCCCGCCATTTTTTGTGCTTGCGGAACGCGGAAATAACGCTATGCTCATATAAAGGCCGAGGATACCCGTGTTCGCATAACGTCACTGTAATAGTGAATCGACATAATATAGAAGAGTGCGCACAGTATGGCATAAGCTTTTCACATCAGTTAATAAAAACTAAGATCTCATGAAAAGTAAACACAATGAAATGCAAGTTGACGAAATATAATTGTACTATGTGTAAATGTCATAAAGAGTTGACATAATGTAAAGGAAAGTTAACACGATGCAATAGTAGTGTGGGTTAATGTCATAAAGAGTTGACATCATGTAATGCAAGGTTGACACAATGCAATAGTAATGTGGGTTAATGTCATAAAGAGTTGACATCATGTAACGGAAGGTTGACACAATGCAATGGTAGTGTGGGTTAATGTCATAAAGAGTTGACATAATGTAATGGAAGATTGACACAATGCAATATTAGTGTTCTGCTATAAGGCAGTGACGGCGTTCCATATGAGACTTCATGAGTTATTGATATCGATCCCCCCCCCCCCCCCCCCCCCCCCAAATATATCATCATTTCCCTTGCGCAAAAAGTACCAATCTTGATCATCCTGTTCCTCAGAGCATTTATCTTTTCTGTATTATATAATTTATATATGTACAGGCGCAGATCCTGTTTTTTTCGGGGGGGGGGGGGGGGTGTTCCACCCCAATAAAAACAATCCAGCCCATATCATTTTTTTCACGTGCGCAGATCCTTTGATCCGCGCACACAGATCGCTATACGAGTAGCGATTTATGTGAGCGGGTCAAAGGATCTGATTTTAATCAGATTGCTTCCTAAATTAACTTATTCTAAAATAAATTTAATAGACTTCACTTAGTCGTACAAAGAAAAACAAAAATGATAAAAGTACAACTTGCCAAGTGAATTTTCATGTATCAACAAATTGTGTAATGCATGAACACAATAAAATAATTTTATATGAACTTTTTTTAAGAGTGTAAGGAGATTTTTTTCTTTCAAAAATTTTCTCTTGGGAAAAAAACAATATCTGCTACTGGTTTCTTGTAATATATTTACAGTCGTTTGTCTTGCTGCCTCTGATATGTTTGAATTTTAAAAGTCCGACATGATGCTATTATCCGATCCGAGGTCTGCAAAATGGATGTTGATAGGCAATTTCGTGGGATTTGGACCCGGACTACAATTAGCTTACATGTACATATATAGACTTATATAGTAAAAACATTTGTTTTGTTTTCTTTGTAACTTTTTGAAAAACATTCATTTCCAAAATATTTTTTAACACATGACAGAGCAATGTGTCAGATAAATATTCACATAAAAAGGGGGGTGTTCAATGTGGAAATCCCTGGTTATTAATAAACTTCTGATGTCATGACCTCTGAATAGCTCTCGCTTGGCTTAAAATGTGTAAACAAACCAAATGACCTCTCATTTCAATACATATTTCTATGCATAATTTATGATTGAAATGCACCTTGATGCAAATCATTGTAAACTTTTGACATTAAATTTTTATTCTATACCAAGAAAGTCTCACAAACATATGAGCTGTTTTTATTTTTATCATTGAAAGGGAGGCATGCAAATTTCCTACATGTGCTACTTTTCAGCCTTTTGACCTTCACTCTATAATTGTGGCCCTGATCCATTTACGTTCCTTTGAAAGTACAAAAATAATGATGACGTAGAAACACTTGCACGCCATCTAGCGTTAATTCAGGTAATACATGTTTTTTTTGGCACGCCATCTAGCGATAATTCTGTGGATAATCGTTGGTTTTGCATTGGTGATCGTTGGTTTCGCATCGGAGTCTGTTGATTTTGCAAACGAGTCTGTTGATTTTGTTTTTAAGGTTGACTGTTTTGTATTTCATTATGTTTATAAAATTAGTTGTAAGTTTTTCATAAACGTCTTTTTTACCCTTTCCGCCGCCCATAGGTTGGTTGATCACATTTTTACGGAAGCCCGTTTGGTACCACGTAGGAAAAATATTTTATGTGGCGGCCGCCACATAAATTATTTTGCAAAAGGTGAGTGTTATTGTATCTTTATTGGGTTAAGAAGATGGATGTTGACACAGCCGCTGCTTTGTATTTTCATATGAGGTTTACCAACAAAGAAGTGTTATGTCGACAAAATCTTTTTCGTCGCAAAAATTACACTGATATTATTGATGTCATTGATGTGATTCTTGGTTGGTTTTGCAATGAAACTACAGCTTACTCCAAGCGTGCTTGGGTGTATCCACTTTTTTCTGAAATCTCACGTTAAAACATGCGTGCGCATCAGGAAGCCAAGTGTTATCTGGCGGACGCCAGATAAATTATGTGGCGGTCGCCAAATATTATGTAGCGGCCGCCAGATAAATATTTGGCGACCGCCAGAAAATTATCTGGCGGCAGCCACATCAAATATTTTTCCTTCGTGGCACCAATGGGCTTCCGTACATTTTTCTTGAGATGCAGTATTTAGATAATTTCTTGTTTATATCGGTACACAACAAAGAAACCAATTGTAGGATGTGGAGGCCAGAGCGAGATAACTAACAAAAATGTGAATAAAAGTTTGGTTTATTGCAGGCTGATGGTACTTTTGGGGAAGCCCTTCCTCTGATCGTGTTTGGAGGGTCCACCATCATTGTAGCTACAATGTCAATCAAACTGCCCGAGACGAGGGGGCGGAAACTTCTAGAGAGCGTGAAAGACGCTCAGCACGAGGAGGATCTAGAAATTGACAGGTGTGTAACCTGTGGTCTACTTTACTTGTTAAACAATGTATATGGACATAAAAACAAAAGTCTGTGTTAACAATGTTCATTTTCCCGTTATAGATATGACAACGACAATGTCTGTTCGGAGGACCTGAGCGACTGTAGTGAATCATCCCCGCTATGAAACCTCAACTCAGATCACAACATTCCAAAATCGTTTTCTTGAACTCTTTGCTTTTTCCATGACAGAACCTTTATACTGTATGTACATCAAGATTATCAAAACGAAAACTACAACTTTCACCTTTATTAGTCTATATTTGTCTTTCATAGGAACCAAACTTTATGATATAAACGTGACTTCAACTTTTCTATCGCCTGCTTCTTTTTTTTAGGTCACCTATTGCTATCCGTTTTCGTCTGTCGTCCTTCGTCGTACGTCGTTCGTAAACTTTTGAACATTTTTAACTTCTTCTCTGGAACTACTGAACCAATTTCAACTAAATTTGGTATACAGCATCTATAGTTGAAGGGGAACAAAAATTATGAATTTCATGATCCCTGCCCCCCTGGGACCTGAGGGGTGGGGCCAAAACCACTAAAATTAATGCAATCTTTAAAAATCTTCTTTACTCCTGGACATCAAGTAGTCAAACTGTTGACATGATTGTAATTAGCATTGAGTCCTCTACCAAAACTATGAAATTCATGGCCCCTGGGTCAGGGGTTCTAGTGCTAGGGCGGGGCTATATAAGATATATAGTGAAAATGCATTATTTCTTTGAAAATCTTCTTCTCTGCTTCTGGGTATTAAATAAACCAACTAAGAACATAGTTATGATGAGCAAGAGTGCCTCTTCAATAAATGTGAATTTCATGGCCCCTGGGTCAGGGGTTCTGGTGTTAGGGCGGGGCTATATAGATCATATAGTAAAAGTGCATTATTTCTTTAAAAATCTTCTTCTCTGCTCCTGGATATTAAATAAACTAACTAAGAACATAGTTATGATGACCAAGAGTGCCTCTTCAATAATTGTGAATTTCATGGCCCCAGGGTCAGGGGTTCTGGTGTTAGGACGGGGCTCCATTGATTGTATGGTTAAAAAACATTAATTCTTCAAAAATATTCTTCTCTGCTCCTCGATATTAAACAGGCTAACTAAGTACATAGTTATGATTAACAAGAGTGCATCCTCCAAATTTGTGAATTTTATGGCCCCAGGGTCAGAGGTTATTGGGTTAGGGCGGGGCTTTATTGATTATATAGTGAAAATGCATTAAATCTTTGAAAATTTTCTTCTCTGCTTCTGGGTATTAAACCAATAAACTATTTACAAACTTATGATGAGGAAAGATGCCTCTTCCGAATTTGTGAATGTCATGGCCCCTGGTCAGGGGTTTTGGTGTAAGGAGGGAACTCTTTTGATTATATCTATAGTGAAAATGCATGAATTCTTCAAAAATCTTCTCCTTTGCTCCTGTAAACTAAGTAAGTATGTAGTTAAGATGAGCAAGAGTGTCTCTTCCAAAATTGTGAATTTTGTGGCCCCTGGGTTGGGGGTTGTGATGTAAGGGCGAGGCTTTATTGAATATATAGTGAAAATACATTGTTTCTTCAAAAATCATCTTCTCTGCTCCATGGTATTAAACCAATGAACAATGTACATAGTTATGATGAGGAAGGATGCCTCTTCCAAAAACTGCTAAGACAGACAAAAAAACCAATTCGATGTTCTTGTAGCATATATATAAATCATTGCAGCCCGGAGGACCGGGCTGCTCTATACATATAAGTTTAAGTGTTGGTGTATGGGGATTGGGTTGGGAGTAATAATTTAGAATTAAAAGTTTTCTAAACATTGAAAAGATTGTTTATCAGAATGTTCTTTCCGTTTATAAATTACGAGATACATAATACATTTACTTCCATAAAGTTTATCTGTAAAAATGTATATGTTTTTCATATTTAATATATAAAGTTACTTATCATTTACTATCGAAATAACGACAGGTCCCTTTTTTAGAACATCAAATTTTACTTCTCGGATAAAAACGTACTCTGCACCAGTTCGTGTTTTATATTCTAAAATTGAAAATTAATACATTTTTAAATATAAATGATGCGTGTGTCTAACTTCAATTTATATTTTATGCAGCCAACATTTACTTGAGGAATTGATCAAGTTTAAAATGGTATCGTTTTTGATTGATTTTTATCCGACTACAAGTTTTTAAAAATATTTGCGACTATCGTCTCCATCAATTAGACGCATGCCTTTTTACACATATCGAAGCAGTTTGTTGATCAAGACTCATTTTCATTGTTTACTTTATATATTTCCCGGGCGACAATTGATGGTTACATCAATGTTTTCTTGTTTCTTTTTGGGGAAGGGTAGCAATGAGGCTTAGACACAATAAGACACTATTTGGACATGACTTGGAGCTCCAGGGCAGTAAGGATACCGGAAGCGACAAAATGTTGCGTTTCAGTACGTTGCAGAAAGACTATCTGTTTTACAGAGCGTCAATGGAACCGATATTTGCAAACAGACAATGTCTAAAGAAGACCGAAATCAGGATGTCCAAAGCGTACCACAGTCCGTGAGGACCGTTCTGTGGCCAACAATGCAAAAAGACCACCCGTCCAAAGTGGAGTAAAGCTTAACACTGACTTCCAGAGCGCAAAAGGAAGACAAATTACTACTCAGACATTGATCATGAGAAACAGAGTACATGTACACGAGGCTAATCTAAATCCTGCAGACCCGCTTTTTGTCTCAAATTAATACCTGAGCATATCGGATATTGGCTGCAATTGGCAACAGAAGCACAGAAATGGACTTGAGAGCATTCTCAGACTTAAGCATGTTTTATAACAGCGGACCCAGGACCCATACTGTTGTCAGCGTGGACTCAAATAACACATCACTTAATTTTTTAGTAATAATCCAGGGTCCATTCCAGTTCCTTGCTAATTTAAGTTTCGTTCCCCCTATTTGTTTTGGCTGAAATCTTCTTACAATATCACCTTCATTGTAAGTTTTTCGTACGGCAGTTTTATCGTAATTTTTCTTTTGCCTCCAGACTGCTCCCAAAGTTCTGTCTCGCGCTAATTTGTGTACTAATTTTAAGTTTTTACACAAACTTTTCACATATTTCGTCTCTGTTATCTTTTCACCTTTACCGATTTCGAGCGATTCTGTTTGTAAATCTACGGGTACAGTCATCTCCGAACCAAACATCATGCGGTAAGGTGTAATCAGTTGTGTCGTGTACTGCAGAGTTATAAGCCATCACAACACAATCAATGTAACCATCCCAGTCAGTTTGTTTCACAGTCACAATGTATATACTTAGTCAACATCTCTTTAATTGTTCTGTTTAGTCTTTCCACTATTCCGTCGGATCGCGGATGAAATGCAGTTGTTCTTGTTTTCGCAATATCAAACATTGAAAACAAATGTTGAAACACTAAACTTTCAAATTGTACGCCTTGATCGCTATGAAATTCATATGGACATCCGTATCTTTTAATCCATCCCCGGAAAAAGACAGTAGCTATTGTTTTTGCTTCCATGTTCGGTATAGGAAAAATCTCCGCAAAGAACGAGGGTGCTTTTGATTGGCATTCGGCAGGAATATGGGCGAAATTGAAAAGTGAAAATTTTATCGACATGTCACATGAAATTTTAACATTATTTTAATTTAACGGGTTCCTGTGCAACAGGAAAGGAAAATATTTTCCCGAAATTGAGCTTTGATTTGCTAAAAAATTTCTTGAAAATTGGCCAGATCAGACATTTGGTACAAAATGGTACATTTTTAAACACGTTTTTCTAAACTTTTTCTATCTCTGGCTCTTCTCTCCATGATTTTGAAACGTTATTTGTGTGTATTTTAATTTAAAGAAACGAATACGCTTTTAAAAAAAAATGGAGAGAAGACCCAGAGACCACGAAAAATGAACTTTCCCCAAAAAATCCAAATGTGTGAATGTGGTGCTTCTTTGTCCTTTTAAAATCATCCGTCTATGTGTAGCGGTGATAGCTCAGTAAGTTGGACAAACTGTCCAGTGCACTCGTAGCGAAAAATTTTTGGTTCAATTTGGTTCTCGAGCGAAATCAATTCTAATCTTCTGTTCTATAATGTACATGTACACGTATCATACATATGCATTAGATATTTTAGGTGTTCATTTTTTTGTGTAACATTACTATGTTAAAAGTATCCCCTAGGAAAAACGGACATAAATGTTTCAATTTCACAAGGTCTTTCAAACTAAATGCAAAAAAAACCTATGGACGTGTTTGTAAAATCTGACCAGCTGTGTTCAGCCAACCAAATCATGGACATTTAACCATAAATGTTTCGTACAAATGATTCCTGCAGATCACTCGCCAAATGCGCCCATCTTCTTTTGTAAAGTATTCCGATATAACCAAAATATATACATTGTCATTTGCAGTTTTAGGAAATGGTCCGCCTATATCTGCTGCGACTCTTTCAAATCTTCCACCAGCAATATACGTTTCCATATAATTCCGCCTTTTCTTCCTGGATTTTTCCTTTCTTCACATACATCACAGGACTTAACATAATCACGCACACTTTGTAAAGCTCGTTGTTGCGTTCTGTGAATTATCATATGTCCAGAGGTAGGTGCATCATGTAAATGCCACATGACATCCTCGCGTATTCCTTTAGGAGTACAGATACGCAATCTGTTATTTTCCTTTTCTATCCAAAGAATACACAGTACATTTTCATGAATCCGAAGTAATTCCCAACATGCATACGAATATTTACACTCGGGGTTTAAGTGTGAAATTTCCTGGAACGAAGGCTTATTTTCTTTTCCGTGTTTTTCAAATAACTTCAAAATGGGGAAAATTCCATCATCATCTTCTTGTGCCTTACGTATGTTTTCGAAAGTTAACTTAGCTACTGGCATTTCTAAGCCTTTGGCTCGCTTTGCTTTATTTCCCACGCGTCCTTTCTTCTTAATTTTCACTTCAAAACAATTTTCCGCATTGAATAAATTCTCAATATCACAAATGATATTTTTGGTAGATGTAATTAATGTCAACAGTATGCTTTCTTAATTCATTCACATGTGATTGTTGTTTTCCATCATAAACATCGTTGATTTTACGATTGCATTGCCCACAAACGTCCTCACCGTCATGTTCACTTGGTTTGGGTAATCGGGATAATGCTGTGATTTCTCCCTGGTCGGTGTATAATTTTAAAGTCATATGCTGATACTTAGTAACTGTTGAAGCCACCGACAAACCTGTCCGTCTGGATCTTTAAATATGTGTAGCCAAGTTAAGGAACCATGATCAGTCCGTA